ACGTTATAACACAATAATAACATTAATAAAAAAATAACAATCATGATAACCGCTTTTTATAAAATCTAAAAATATTAATACAAAAGAAACATACAAATGAACATGACACAAAAGCAGGCAACGCAAACGTCCGGATGTAGAGAAATATAAAACACGCATACAATTACTCCGTAAGCAAGTCAATTACGATCTGACATGTCAGTCGAATTTCATCTGATTGTATGTATGTGCAGTGTATGTATGTATGTATGTATGTATGTATGTATGTATGTTTGTATGTCTGTATGTTTGTATGTATGCATGTATGTATGTATGTATGCATGTATGTATGTATGTATGTATGTATGCATGTACGTGTATTAATGCGTGCGTGTATGGGTGGATGCATGGATGCATGCATGCAAATAAAGTGATCATGGAAAACATAGCACATGAAGACGAAAGGCAAAGTCGATAAGGACGACGACGACGACGAAGACAACGCTTAACAATCAATCTTTTTTATAACTGACATCACTGATGACGTCACTGATGACGTGGATGAACGATGGCCGCAGACGAGTAGAACGTAAACAAGGATGCTAATGAAAAGTCAATATTACACGTTTGTATGCTTATGTTTGTATGAGTGTGTATGTTTGTATGTATGTGTATGTTTGTGTGTGAGTTTGTATGTTTGAATGTGGGTGTATGTGTGTATGTTTGTATGTTTGATTGATTGTTTGTTTGTTTGTATAAATGCGTGTGTACGTGTGCGTACATGTATAAACGTGTTGCTGTTTTTTTCGTATATAATCGTAATAAGCATCATACCTTAATCGCGTTTTCCTCAACTTCAACATTGTTGATATCTGTGTTGTTGCTGTTGATGTTGTTGCTGTTGATGTTGACGTTGTTGTTAGCTTTCATCTGAGTGCATGGTTGTTTTTGACGATACAGTTTCGAAACGTTCGTTTGTATTTCTAATAACTGTTGATGTTGTTGTTGCTGCTGTTGTTGTTGTTGTTGCTGTTGTTGGTTTAAATCGCAGGAATCATCACTGACGTTATCGTACGATGAACAGGATAGCTGCTCCTGGAAAATTTTGATAACGAAGATGACTACGATGACGATAATGGAGAAATAGAAGGTGAAAAAAAATAATTATTTAACATTTATTGAAAATCAGGGCGGTTATAATTAAAGTTATCCTCACGTACATCAGCCATATTGAAAAAAAAACCGGCCGACAAATAATTTTAGAAAACAATTTTTTGTTTTTACTTCATCTATTATTGCTTTTATATTCTTTGATATTTCGGCCACCAACGTCATCATCATTAACATCATTATCATCATCGTCGTCGTCATCGTCACAATCATTCGACATGGTTTAATTAGATTTTTACATGACATCACAGAAGGGTAAATATAAGCCAAACCAGCCAACCGGCCAAGTTTATATTGCACGTGTGTGTGTAGTGTATGCGTGTGTAGTGTATGCGTGTGTATGTGTGTGTATGCGCGAGCGTGTGTGTGTGGGTATGACTGTGTGGTGCATTTTTACCTTTTTGTCTAATTAAATTATATAAATTTGAAGCTAAATCTGAAAAAATTAATTCTTCCGCACTTGATAAAAATAAAATAAAATAAATTTAAAAGAATGAGAAAAAATACGAAAAAAAAATTTCGTTGGACGGCACAGGTCAGTGCAAGAACGAGTTTGTTTACCTTTTTAAACCTCACGGATTGTTAAAACTTATGAATGTTATTATTCAGGATAAATAAATTATTTCTCTGTGCTATAACCGTAGTAAAAAATGGCGGGTAACCGAAGCGATAATAAATAAACATCGTAAACAACAACAACAAAGCAACCGTAATAACAAACAACAACAACAATAATTATAATAACCTCTTCCGGAAGATCTTCCTGCTGAGCTAATGGCGGACATCCTTCACCTTTTCCGCTCGTGACGTCATTGCAGCTTTTTAGTATCTTCGGTAATACGAAATATGAAAACATCGTGAGATGATTAAAAACGTCGTTGGGAATTCATCAACAGCATTACTAACAACAACAACAATCCCAGACAAAGCATTTTATTTCACTCACTCACTCACTCACTCACTCACTCACTCACTCACTAACACACACACACACACACTCACACACTCACTCACTCACTCACTCACACACACACACACTCACTCACTCACTCACTCACTCACTCACTCACTCACTCACACACACACACACACGCACGCATGCACTCACATACACAATATGTATGTACGTGACACATTAATATTTATTGCGTGCAATGGAATTACTTTGTCATTTCTATTTAACTGCGATGTTTTTGCCTATTGTTGTTTGAGCGCGTGTCTACTGTTGCTACCCCCACCACCAACCCTACTATTACTACTACTACTAGTACTACTACTACTACTACTACGTCTACTACTACTACTACAACCGCTACCGTTGTTACATTTATATTTGAATTTATTTATTCATTTATACGTTGGTGTAGTGTTATTTTAAACTTTTGTAATGTTTTATTAACACTCAACTGTCTTGATTTAGTAGAAGCATTGCTACATTATAATTGCTTCTATAATTGATCTTCTATTTATACTTTTTCGTTAGTCACGAAATCATCATCGTCGTCGTCATCATCGCCATCAAAGTAAACAAACTCATGACGTCATCATCATCGTCGTCATAACTGTTGCGATAACATCATCACCTCGACCCCATCTAAACCTCTTGCAATGAGGAGACTCCGGCAGATGAAAAAGAGGAAGTGGCCGCCATATTTGACATCGACGTCATTTCCGGTCGTTTGAAAAAAGAAATGTGCTTGTTGATACAGGGCGTGCTGTAGAATATTTGCTGCTTTTTTTTGTCATTATCATCGTTACCCATCCGCTCGACTATTATATCTTTGCTCTTAATATTAGTATTGTTTATATTGCTATTATCGTTGTTGTTGTTGTTGATGGTTTTGTTGTTGTTTTTGTTATTGAAGCAATGCTCGCTACAACTGTTGCTGTGAATTTGTTTCTTATGTTTAGCATGACGAGTTAGTCTGTAGGGGCATGTTATGTTATCACTGATTGTTGTTGCAGTTCTGGTTACTGGTTTGTTATTTGTTGCTGCTGTTAATGTTTTGTTGTTGTTGTTGGAATTTTTTATGAGTGGGGTTGTGGAAAAATTTTTGGAAAAATCATTGCTAGTGTTGTTACTACTGCTGTCGGTGTTATTGTTGGTGTCGTCGGTGATATTGTAGCCGTTGTCAATGTTGTCTAGGTTGTTGTTGTTTATGTTGATGTTGTTGTTTACGTTAATGTTGTCGTTGTTGTTGTTGTTGATGTTATTAGTGTTATTCTCATTTCTCCTGTCCGTGAAACAGACGAGAAATTTAAAAAAATTTCTTTTTTTCTTCATCATTGCCAATTAGCTTTAAGCTTATATGTTGTACAGTACTTATATGCCTTTGTTTACGTTAATACTGCTGCTGTTCATGTTGATATTGTTGTTATTGTTGTTGATATTGTTGTTATTGATGTTAATGTTATCAAGTAGATATACAATACTATAAGTTGTGTCAGTACTTTTTTCGTAACAAATCCTATACAACCAACATTTATACAGCGCAAAACACCGATCGTAGATAATAAAAACCGAACTGTATGATAATAATTTTTCAAAATAACATAGATATAATAATGAAACAACATCGAATTTGCTCCGTTCGTTCCTATTGCCATTGCAAATATTCAGAAATTGTTATTTATTATCTGGTTATATATATATATATATATATATATATATATATATATATATATATTACAGGGTTATATATTATATATATTCAGCATAGTTCCAACTAAATTTCACTAATAAACAAACCTAAACAGAATTAATAGGACAAATTATTATTATTTATTATTATCATTATCTATTTATTAATATTTATTTATTATTATTATTATTAATAATAATTATTATGCCAAAAATAAAAATAAGGAATAAATGTATTGATGCCAATATTCCATGGAATCATTTCAACGGAGTTCGAAACGAGTATTATATATATATACATATATATTTATATAATATATATATATGTATCGTATAAATAAACTTGAATATGTATGTTTAATATGTATGTGTGCATATGCATGGGTATACGTATGTACGTAGAATCATATATTTACATATATTGGAAGTATAAACACATAAATAAACGCAAACACACACATACATACGCACACATATACATACATATATACATGCATACTCACACATACACATTGTGTTTGATTGTTACAGTTTTTCTAGTGAGGACGTGTTTAATCTTATTTTTAATTTTGTTTTATTTTATTTTTTGATGGCGCTTTTGGATTTTAACTAACTAGCGTTAAATAAATCTTCTGATAATAATAATAATAATAATAATAATAATACACACACACACATACATACACACACATATATGGAAGTATAAATATATAAATAAACACATGCACACACACACATACATACACACACATACAAACATGTATATACACATCGTTAGATATTTATGGTAATAATAAGGGATTTCATAAAATGTAATTTGCCTTATCGGAAAATAAAATTATTGCGAGCTAGCTTGCGTGCCTATGTTTATACATGAAAAAAAAACATTGATTAGGATTATTAATATTTTCTTGGCTATCCACTTTTATTTATTCATTTTTCATTTAAAAAAAAATTTTTGCTCGGATGTCTGCAAGTTTTTGTGCTAGTCTGTCTGCTGGTTTTTCTGCCTAGAATGTGGCGAAAGTCTGACGGGTTTACTGTTGAAGAAAATTAAAAAGTTAGATTGAGAGAGGATGAGAGAGAGAGAGAGAGAGAGAGAAAGAGAGAGAACAAGAGGAATATAACAAGTAAATAAATCATGAAAAATGGGTAGATTGATAAAGAGAGTGAGAGAGAGAGAGAGAGAGAGAGAGAGAGAGGGAGAGAGAGAGAGAGAGAACGAGAGATGAGTTATACGCTTCTTCTCAATGTTCATTATCGGTGAGATGAAACTTAATTACATTAAATTCTAAATGAAATAATCTAATCGTACTCAATAAACTCTGTTGTGTGTAAATTGTTTATGTTTTTCATGTCCAAATGTATCAGTTTTTCAAAGTTTTTTATTTCGTTTTTGTATTTCAATGAATATAAAAAGCAACGAATAACATTCGTGAAGTCCTTGTGTCACTTGTTGAATATCCCCACATTTCATCTACTACAAAGTGTTCAAGATCGGGTTTTGTGATGGTCGATGGTCGCCAATGTCCTGAATATTATAAGGCACAAGAAAGAAGAAGTAAGAGACAGGTCGGTAAAAAATTTCTGAATTAATTTTTAAAATGCGTTATAGTTGTTATTTAATCATTTAATTTAATTTTTAAATAAAATTTATCTCTAATTCTTCTGTTTATTATTTCTCACGAATATAAATTCCAATTTGGGCTATATTTTTATTACATAGAATCGCAATAATCTTTTTAAATTACAAAAATTGTTTTGTCAAATGGACGAACTTGACGCATTCCAACAACAAATCAAGGTAATGAAATGAAAAAAAAATTAACAGACGAAGATAAAAAAAAGAAAAAGAAGGAGAAAGAAAGAGAAGGAGAAAGAGAGAGAAAGAGAAAGAGAGAAATTCTTAAATTCTTGAATGATTATTCTTATTATTTTTACTCGCAATGAAATAAATTAAAAAAATTCCTTTAGTAAAATTTAAAAATATAATTTTTTTAAACCTCCAGGATATTTCACGGAAAATTAAAAAATAAAAATTATTATTTATCGATAAAATATCATCAGCTGCGTTGGCATACGAAGAAATATTTTTTGGGTTGTAGAATTAGTTATGCTTTGTCGAGCTTTTCAGGGAAAGAAATTGTTACAAACGTACATACAAACAAGCATACGTGCATACAAACATACATACGCACATACATCTCTTTCTCTCTCTTTCTCTCTCTATCTCCCTCTCTCTTTCTATACAGAATCATTCATCTCTTCAATGATTCATTACATTTTTTCCAACTGTAAATTTATCAATTTTTTTTTGTAACATAACAATAATTACTATAGATATTTTTTAGCATTTGAGTATCTTTGGTAAGTACACTTTATTAAGTATTTTATAGTGTGTTATACAATTAAGCATCGCTAAGTCAAAAAAATTTAATTTTCCCCAGTATAATTGAGTAAATAATTAGGAACCTAAACAGCGAAAACTTAGTGTGATGAAATCGAATTAGTAAAAGAAGGTTAAGAATGACGGTGCCTTCAGTTGAATTCATCGTGTCAATGAGGTTTGGTCTCTTAATGTCTTTTAAAGAAGTTTTATGATTGTTTGGGGTTGAAATGAGGAATGTAATAAATAAAATGATTATTATGGTGATTGGATAATGTTAAGTTCTTATTAGGTGATGTTAGTAAATGTTTCTTTGCGGCAGCGAAGATATTCAAATCCCATCATCATGCGACGAACATTTTGTAAAATTTATTTTCGTTAAAATCTGTCGCAAGAGTGGCGCTCAACACAGAAAGAACTCCAACGAATATACATACATACAAACACATACAATACATAACATACAAACACTGACTAGAGTTTGTATGCTAAATCGCAACTGAAAACATTAGCACTAACCAACGGAATGTAACAAAACACATCAGCAGCAACCAAAAAACAAGAAAAAAACCCTAACCTCAGTGGCAAAACCTCTACTTCCAAAATCCCCCCCTCTTTCAATAGCACCGGTTTCAAATACAACCACATCCACTAAAGTTGAGTTTCCACCACCACCACTACCAGCAGCAGCAAAAGCAGCCACAGCATCTTCATCTTCATCGTCGCCATCGTTGTAATCACGGTCCGGTGCGGAGTAGGATTTTGTCTGAAGAATTTTTTTGCTGTTGGTGCCGCCGATAATGGTGCTATTGTTTTTATTGTTATTAATGTTGTTATAGTTGTTGCTGTCGTTGTTGCCGTCGTCGTTGTTGTTGTTGTTGTTGCTGCCGATTCCCAATCGGCCTCTGCTTAACTTCTTCATAGAGGATGACAGCCAGTATCTGAGTAAAAATTTTTATTATTTTGTGATTATTGTAATTATTATTGTTAATAATAGTAATAATTTTACTTATAATTAATAATAATTATAATTATTATTTTTATTCAGTATTATTTCTTATTATTATTAAACCTGAAACTTGATTTTCTCTTAACGTCCTCCTGGCTAATTGACTTTAAATATTTCTTTGAAATGGTCGACTTCGATTGCTGCTGTTGTTGTTGCTGCTGTTGTTGTTTGGATGACGATTGTTGTTGTTGTTGTTGTTGCTGTTGTTGTTGTTGTCGTTCATTTAATTCCATAGTTTTTTTTTCTCAGTATTTTCTTTAAAATTTTTCACAAAAAAACAACACGAACCTGTGACGTTGAATACAAAAATAACATTTTTGTATTTATATCATCAAAATATACATCTTAAACATACACACATTACAATTCACACACACACACATACACACACACACATACATACACACACACACATACACACACACACACACACACACACACATAACTTAGACCGGCCAGCATAAACACTCCTTACATATATATTGCTTTTTTTGATTGACCATTCGTTACGAAAACGTCAAAACATCCAGGGCGTTTGAATGTTTATGAAAAGGGAAAAAACTAAAATCAGAGCACATAGGAAATCTTTATTTTACTCTACAATCCTTCAGGTACTGAGTTCTCTACTGCTCACGCACGCACACACATGCATGCACACGCACACACACGTACAGACACACACACACACGTACAGACACGTACACAAACACACACGAATAAGCAAATATAGATACACGCAAACACTCCAATAATCTCTTACATTTTCCATCATTTTTTTTCTCTATTTTGCTTTCTTTCTTTCTCTTTCTCACCATCTTTTTTATCTCTTTCTTTCCTTCTCTTCTTCTTCTCTCTCTCTCTCTCCCTCTCAAGTGTACAATGCATATGAATGTTTAATTTATTTTATAGCTGCGGAAAGCGTCGGCGGACAAACGTTGAGGGATGTCTTTCCAATGCAAATCAAATGCCCGCTACAGGCCAGGAGAGAGAAAGAGAGAGTGAAAGAGAGAGAGAGAGAGAGAAAGAGAGAGAATGAAAAAGTGAATGAATGAATAAAATGTGAATGAATGAGTGAATTGATAGATAAATGAATGAATAAAACAAAGAACAAGTGATAGAATGAATGTATGAAAAATAAAGTTTTATAAAAGTAAAATATTATATAGAACTCTTAACCTTCAAACTCAAGTTCTTTAAACACATGAACGAAATTTTCAATTATCATATATAAGTATGTGTATGTGTGTGAGTCTGAATGTGTGTGTATAGGTGAATGTATTGTACCTATACGTGCATGTGAGTGTGTAAATGTATGTGCGTGTATGTGCGTGTGTGTTTTTGCCAAAAATTACCTGTCAAATAATTTTTTATCGCTATGGAAACGATTAAATTTTTTCTCTTTCTTTTTTCAACCTTCTTTCAACTTCCATGTAAACAAACTTATCAAAAAAACACACATAAAATTACAAAAACATACAAAAAATACAATAATATATACAACAAATTGTGTGGAAAAATTTCCTGAATGCATGTGAATGCAACGTTTTCAAGTTAGCTGGCCTGGTCGACAACCCACGCAAAATAAATGAAAAATTTGAAAATTCATTCATTTACACATTCATTCATTCATTTACTCATTCACTCATTCATTCATTTATTCATTCATTCATTCATTCATAAGTCCTTCTGTTGGTCAGTCATTTCATCATTTATTCATTCGCCTTGTCCGTCATCTATTCTTTTAATAATGAATTTTGATAAAACACAAATAAAATTATTATTGATAATAATAATAATAACGATTTTATTATTATTACGAATACAAATTTATAAGCCCATAAATATAATGCTTTATTTGTTAACTCATTTATCCAGAAGCCTTATCTAAGTAATGTTAATTGCCCGCTACCAGAATGTTGAGTTATTAATGATAACATTACGTAACTTTTTTAGAAACTGTATTTCTATTAATATCTCTGCTTTAACGTTTATTTCTGCAACAACTACTTCTGCTGCTACTGCTACTGCAGTTGTTTCTGCTGGTACAACTACTGCTACTGCAGTTGCTTCTGCTGCTACAACTACTGCTACTACTAACATACTTTACTAGTTTTGCTAACAATACAAAAGCCATCAGTCATAATATGATAATACTTTTTATTATGCTGTTATTTATGACAATGCTTTGAAAATTCCTTTCGAAAGCCAAACAAAAATTATGACTGCCAAACAGTTAAAACAATGTACCCTTGCATTACTATTATTATTACTACTACTACTATTACTACTACTACTACTACTACTGCTGCTGCTGCTGCTGCTGCTGCTACTAATACTTCTACTACTACTGCTACTATTACAACCTTTAATATTATAAAGTTGTTGTTGTTGTTACAACTTTATGAGGTGTTGGAAATATGGAGTGGATGGTTAGCTGTGCAGATTAAGAAGACTACGTTGAAGGTTTCCCATTAGAATAATTCGGCGAAAAAATAAAAAAATTGTTTGTTTGTTGTTGCTGTTGATGTTTGATGTTGTTGTTGATGTTGTTGATGTTTTTGTTATTGCTGTTGTTGTTGATGTTGTTGTTATTGCTGTTGTTGCTGATGTTGTTGTTATTGCTGTTGTTGTTGATGTTGTTGTTGCTGATGTTGTTGCTGTAGTTTAAGTTGCTGATGTTGTTGTTGATTTTTTTGTTACTGTATCCGTCGAAGAATGAAGTCTACCGTACGATCTTTACCTTTGCATGGTTCGTTAAATATTTCCCTACTGTATATAGAAGTTTAACGGCTGTAGTTATTTTTCTGTAAGGCCAATAACGGCAACAACAGACAAAAAACTGACATAAAGCATGCAGAAACGCTTTACCGAATTTATGTAACTGTATGATGACGGTAATGGTGATGATGACGATGAAGAAGTTGATGATGATGAAGAAGAAGAAGAAGATGATAAAGAAGAAGATGATGATGATGACAACGACGGTGACGATGACGATGATAACAGTGATGACGTCATAGTTTATTTTCAGCTGTCGACGCGGCAAACTCGATTCAATTTCCGGCTCCTAATGACAAGATTCGTCATCGTCAAATTAAACAATCATCATCATCATCTTCATCATCATCATCGTCATTATCCTTATTATCAATGATATCATCATCAACATCATCATCATCATCATTATCCTCCCATCATCATTATCATGATCGCCAAGTGATATTTAAGATTTCATGCACATGCAGAGAATGAAATTTCATCTCGGACAATTAATTTGTTTAAATGAATCTGTCTATTTTTAATTAAATTTATTATTATTAAATTTATTATTATTAAATTTAGTATTATTACCACTATTAGTGTGTGTATGTGTGTGCGTGCGCGCGTGTGTGTGTGAGTGTGTGTGTGTGTGTGTGTGTGTTGATGGGTGCATATTTATTTATAATGTGTGGTATGGTCTGATTTATTACTCAATATTTGCCGACCTTATGTGTGTTAACTTCACGGGCTTCGTTTTTAATGCGCTGGATTCTGTTATTTAGTATTGATGTTGTTGTTGTTGTTGATGTTGTTGTTGTTGTTGATGTTGTTGTTGATGATGTTGTCGTTGTTGTGGTTGTTGTTGTGGTTGTTGTTAGATCGAAGTTTTTATGGTTTTTTGTAAACGTTATTAATTTGCTATTGCAAAAATGACGTCCACAACATACAACAGCAACAACAACAACAACAGCAACAACAACGAAATCATCAACAACAACATCCTTTCTATCTAACTCGAATCTATCTCGTTGTTCTTCATAAACCTAATATATATTCTAATTGATGGATGTGTATTTTTAGACCAAACCCTTTTCATTTATTCATTCATTATTCATTCGTTCATTAATTCGTTCATTCATTCATTTATTCATTCATTTATTCATTCATTCATTTATTTGTTTCTTTAACTCATCGACTCATTTGTTCATTTAATGATACACATCATGCATCCAATTGCATACTAGCATATTCATATATTTCGACATACGGATCATCTGTGTATACAACCAATCAACAAATCAATCAATCAACAAATCAATCCACAAATCAATCAGCCAACCAATCAATCAATAATTCAACCAATCACCTAGCCAATCAACGTCTTTATAAACCAAGAAACCGGCTAACCAATCACGTTGCTTTCTTAAGAGACATCAGTATTCAAGTCTCGTGTTCTTCAGTGCACGTTTGGAAGAACTAATGGGACACTGAAGCTAGTACAAAAACAAAACACACACACACATACACGCACGTACACATACACACACACGTAGACACACACACACTCAATTCCACAAATACATACATACTCTGCTACAATATTTTTCTACATATGATGAATGATGGCGGATAAAATATTATGAATGATGAAATGAAATGAACAGACGATGGATGTGTGTGTGTGTGTTTGTGTGCGTGTGTTTAACAAAATTATGCAAAAATATGTATAATGTAAAAAATCATTATTGTCAGAATCATACGAACTAATTTATTTATTCATGGCAGAATCAATAAGTAAATATTTGCATTAGAAATAAAACATTTTAATTTATTTATTTTTAATTTTTTTTGTCGGCTCACTATAAAGCACGCACACACTAACACACACACACTGACACACATAAGCACGCACATGCATACACAAACATCTGTAAATATATGTTTATATGTGTTTGTATGTGTGTGTGTGTGTGTGTGTGTGTGTGTGTGTGTGAGTACAAGTGCATGTGAGTGTGTGTGTGTGTGTGTGTGTCTATATGTATATCAGTATGTGCATACCAGATAATATTGTTCATATATGAATCATCAAAATTTCAAACTCAAAAACGTTCTTAAATGTTTTTTCGAAATTTATTTCTCAGCCTATTACTGGAACGTCAGTTCGACGCGGGGCTTTTGATTTATAGGCGCACCGAACCAAACTTGCCTATACTCACACGTATATAGACACACACACACACACTTACACACACACACACACATACACACACACACACACATACATACATATACACGCACAAAACACAGGTACTTTTATATGCTAAAGACCATCTAATCTGTATGAACGTAGCTACACACAACACTTATATAAAATTTCTTACATATAAATGTTCGTCCATGGATGAAAAGAAGAATTTTCTTTATTATCAAGAAACACGAAGACAGAATTATTAACACCATCATCGTCGTCGTCGTCTTCTTCATCATTATTATTATCATCTTCGTCGTCGTCATCTTTATCTTATTAACATCAACTTGATAAGTAATATATGTTA